AAAAAAAAAAAAAAAAAAAAACAGAAAAATTAGAAATCTCCCTCTGCCTAAGAAAATTTAAATAATGGTTTTATATCTGATACAGATAAAAATAATAAAATAAAAAAGTCATGATTCTTTTAAAAAGTGGGAAAGTTAATGTTACATACTATACATCATATACATTGCTAAAATTGCAGAAAACGAACTCCTAGATGATTAATGGGGAATGCTTTCCCACAAGTTCAAAACACTCCTTTTTCCCCCCACCAGATATACAGAATAAACAATAAAAATTCCCAAGACTTTAATAAATCATCCAAGTAGTATCTAGTTTTATGCATTTAATTATTGAAGTGACGGAGATATTAAAAGTGTGGCCAACAGCTGAGGCTTTTTAGAGTACACTGAAGATATATACACACCAAATTCTAATTTTACAGAGCTTGTTCTTCAGTCTGAAAACAACGGATGCTTTTTTTTTTTTTTTAGACGGGGTCTTGCTCAGTTGCCTAGGCTGGAGTGAAGTGGTGCAATCTCAGATCACTGCAGCTTCCGTCTCCCAAGTTCAAGCAATTGTCCCACCTCAGCCGCCAAAGTAGCTGGTTATAAGCACACCAGCACACCAGGGTAATTTTTGTATTTTCAGTAGAGATGGGGTTTCACCATTTTGGCCAGGCTGGTCCCGAACTCCTGACCTCAGGTGATCCACCCTCCTTGGCCTCCCAAAGTGCTGGGATTACAAGCGTGAGCCACCACGCCTGGCCTCAACTGATGCATTTTTATTCATTCTGAAATATGATCTAGAATAGTTACAAGAAAATGTTTTGCAGCAGAACTAAAAGATATCATATCCCTTATGTTATGACTTTCCTGCTTTAACCAACTATCTCTATACCAACTGATATAAATGTTATTTATGTATCAGGTTTCCGAAGTCAGCTTTGAGGTGTTTCATCCTCAAGCAGAGACAAGTAAAAACTATTCTCAAAAGTCACCACCAAAAGACTCATATGCAAACCAGACTGTTGTGGTGTTATGATTTATTAACTTCTCAAAGTAAACGGCTGTCATGATTTATTAACTTCTCAAAGTAAACAGCTGTTATGATTTATTAACTTCTCAAAGTAAACAAGGTGTAATAAGTGAATAAGTACAAATAAATTGCAGTCATTAAGCATATGACCACGTCAGGTGGATATACTTAAAGACTGGAGGTAATTTTAATTTTCATTGTTAACTTCTGTGACAAAACCATTAAAAAATATTGAGACAGAAATGAATGGGTCAGAAATGCTTCTGAGGCTTTTTAATTTAAAAACTGCTGGCCGGGCGCGGTGGTTCATGCCTGTAGTCCCAGCACTTTGGGAGGCTGAGGCGGGCTGATCACAAGGTCAGTAGTTCAAGACCAGCCTGACCAACATGGTGGAACCCCCATCTCTACTAAAAATACAAAAATTAGCCAGGCATGGTGGTGCACGCCTGTAATCCCAGCTACTCAGGAAGCTGAGGCACAACTGCTTGAACCTGGAAGCTGGAGGCTGCAGTGAGCTGAGATGGCGTCACTGCACTCCAGCCTGGGTGACAGAGCAAGACTCCATCTTAAAAAAAAAAAAAAAAGGTTAAAAAAAAAAAAAGCTAGAGTTGCAGGGGTTCTTGAAGCTCATTTACTGTTGGATTTCGAAGACTATTAAGACAATTAAGATGTAAAAGGAAATTATAAAACTTGTAGTTCCCTTAAACACATAGGTTAAAAAATCATGAGACTAGAAAAATGCCAAGAAACTTTACCTCCCAACATCACAAACCTCTATGTCACTCCAAGTCATGAAAACAACAGTTCTTTCTTTTCTAAGTGCTCTCTGGATTACCACTGAAGAATCTATACTCTTTGATTAAGGTGCTGGTGATCACAATACTAATATTGAGAGGATCTGCATTTCAAACAAATGTACCATGGTATGAACATTATTTAAACCAAAAGTCTGTTTGCCCATCCATCCCTGGGCACTGTCTTGCAATATCAGGCCATCTAAGTGGCAAACTGATTTTTAAAAAAGCATAAATGTCAGAAATGAGTGAAGTACGATTTTGATGCATGGTCTTTTCACTTTACACTTACTTCAATTCTGAGGTACGGTTTGTATCTTCAACTTATATTTCCTATGATTGTCTTGTTTTTGTTTTTACATTTTAAAAACTTTTTTGTTCATTAGTTTCTCTCATTTTTGTAACTATCATATCACTGCAAATGAAAATGAACAATGAAGTGTCAAACAAATTGCTGTTCTCCAACAAACAGGTGTTCTTTGGAGGGCA